CTTTTATCAGGTTACCCTTCTCCCTGCCCAAGTGCATTTCCATCAGCTATGGGAAATGCCATCAGCCTCATCAGTCCTGGAAAAGCTGGATAGTTAATCTGTTCTCTTGCCTTTTATCGGGCCAACACAGTTCTGATCCACATTTTCAAGCCCATAGGTCTCATGTCACATGCTGATTGACAGATTGCTTTAATAAATGTGCTTCACCATGTAACTGACTTGTTTGCCTTCATTTGTCTGACCTCTCTGTCTCCATACACACAACTTTCCCCACGAGCTTATTGCATGATCTGTAACTAGCATGGGCCCATTGCTCTCCCAGAAGCAATCCTCAAAACAGGAAGCACCTGGGTGTTCTCTATTTATGGGGCAGGTGGAGAAGAAACAGAGGCAGTGGCTGCTGTAAGTGAAAACACAGAATTAACCAGCACCCAGGTTTATGGTGGGAGTGTGTTTTATTAATCAAGAAAATACATTACTTTGCCATGGTGTCTTATACATCTTTCAACTTGCATCTGCAAAATCAGAGACACTGTCTACCATTTACAGCAAGGGAAGAAAAAAGAATCTCTTCTGTAAAGTTCAAATACTAAGATCTGGTTTAAATAAAGCTCACAGGTATTTTTGAATTTGGGGGATTATTTCAACCAAAGTAAAGGTATATTGTAAACGCAGTGCGAGGGTGGTGTGCGGGGTAGGGTTGATGATGTAACTTGTAGTTTATCAAGGTAAGGTAAGACAAACAAATGGGAGCTAGGGAGGCTGAGCTTTAGCTTATCATAAATCGTATTCATGTGATGCCAAACTCTTGCTAATGCTTAGACTAGACTATGGTTTTTACATGGCCTTTCATGCTCCTAGAACCTCAAAGCATTTTATCATCAAGAGCACCCCAGACTCATGGCTGGCGTACAACACGGGCCATCAAATAGAATAGTCTTTTGCCAGTACACCTATGTAACTCATGTTTAAACTCTTTTTTAATTAATTGGGTATAATAAATTACTGTTTTCACAGACAATAAGGTCTTTGTTGCTGAGCTGCTTGAAAGCATTCTTGCTATAATTAATGACCATTTACATAGCAACATAACACTTTACACAATGGAGAATACCACCCAATTCTCTTCTCCAAAGAGGTTACAGTCTAAGGCCCCAATCCCCCAAGGAGCTCAAACCCCTGTATCGACATGGACTCAAATAGGCAAGATAGAACATGAAATAGCAGTCCAGGTGCAGGAGGGCATAGAAATTTAATGGTAAAGAGGACAAATTTGGAAGGACTCCTGGAAGTGAGGTTTAAGGGGAGATTTGGAGGAGGAAGGAAAAGGGTGCTTGGCAGGTAAAATGTTGAAGACAGTTCAAGCAAATAAGACTGCATGACAAAAGATGCAATACTAAAGACTGGAAGGAGACAAAGGGAACTATAAGGAGAGAGGACTGGGAGAAGGTTAGAGAGTAGAAGGAAAAGTCCGAGTCAAGATCAGAGATGTAGTTGGGGTTCAGTTTATGTGGACTGATGTGGCAAGCAAGAAAACCAATGAATGAATTCAAGGCGGAGAGTAAAGTGGTTCAGGATTTTCCTCTTATATTTACAGAATTGCACACATAGGTTGTCATATCTGTATTACTATGTGCAGACCTATGAGACAAATTGTACAGGTACCTTTCACTGCCCTGCCCATGTTCTTTTCATTAATCCATATCCTCAAACACTTATTCTAGTATTCAGAACTTCTGAGCAACTTCAAACAGCTCCCACCTTTTTCTTTTAATTAATCTGACAAAAATATTTTCTTCATCCCTAAAGTACAGTATGGCCTGAAATGAAGGCTGGAAATTATTCAATGAATAATACAGCCATCACAAATTTATGCCCAGGAAACTTTTACACCACATCTCAAGGTATTTAAGTATAGAACATTATATAGAATACATATTTATTCCCCCCCTCCCCACGTGGGTTGTGATAACCATGTGATAAACTGCAGAGCCGTGTGGTATGCTGTATTTAGTATCTGCATTTTGGGAGTGCGTGTACTATTTCTTTAAATCTGTAGCAGAAAGGGAAGTGTGATGGGGCTGAGAAAGGTTATAAGGTAGCAGCTCTACAGTAAAGCAGAGAGAGGCAGTAGTTTTAGGGATAATAAATACTCTTTTCCTTATTCTAATAAAGTTCTGTATTCAGTATTTTAAAAAAATGACTCTTTCAGCAAATCTTTATCATTGTCATATGTCAACATTGACTGCTTGATTTATGCTGCCCACTAATCTCCCTTCTCTACAATTTATTTTAAGACTCCTAAACTTTAAACATCTTCCAACGGACACCTTTATGAAAAAGCTAGCCTACCACAAAAGTATGTCATATCCTTGATTGTATATTTGATCTCCCTTATCCATTGCTGCAATACAAATAAGTTGGAGAAAGCTAAATGGGAAGGTTAAAAAGAAGAAATGGGATGATATTTGGGAAAGAAAAATATTGACTGAAGATAGGGGAGTAACAGGAGATCTGATAAAAGGTGGAATAATCTTCCAAAGAAAGTGAAAGAAGCTCCATTATCCAGATTGGGCAAAGCACTGGAACTGGAGACAACAATTCTGTAGAAATGAATCACCGTAGGTTTAATCTAATTGATTCTCTCTCCCCCCCACCCCCGTCTGTCAAACAGAAAAACCAGTTCTTTGATGTGTGCTGTTCTAATGTGACAACACTAATTCAGAGGGAAGACAGTGCCTGGATTTGGGGAAATGTAGCATCACACAAAAGGTAAACAGGCCTCTTTCTTCCGCTCCCACCATATTAGAAGCAAAGTCTCACAATTAGTTTCACTGGGATTTGTGCAAGTAAATATTTACAGAATCAGGTCCTAGCCAACTAACCATTAAACACCCTGTGTCCATACCAAGAAAAAGAAAGTTAGCACTGCAAACTCTGTTTTCTTAGCATGAATGACTCATGTTGAGTCATCTCTGCTTAGGCCAGATAATGGTTCCTCAAACTATATAATGAGTTAAGCTTCACAAATAGAAGGCACAACCTTCATAGTTAGTTGAGCAGAAGGGCTGAAGTGAATCAAATGAAGGTTTGTTGGCTGAAACACCAGATATACAGAAGCTTGTCTGTTTTGAACATTCACTACAGCCGAGTGTGGGGTATTCTTCCCACAACATTGGTCACCTGCTGAGAGTCTGAATTGAATTAGGTTACATTATAATTGGATTTTGCTAAGGCACTGCATTAGCATTTTCCATGATCTCACCCTTATTAGCCAAATCATTAATCAGTTGTCTGCTAGTTAAATTATCTGCTGCTACAGTGTCTGTAAGCCAGCTTCATACCCATGCAGAGATAGCAGCTTCAATGGACACTTGGGCTTTTATGCCACAGGTTTCTAAAAAATCATGAAAAAATAGTTATTCTCCAGAGAATGGTTAATTTAGGATTTTGGTCATGTTCCTCTCAGTCTGTGTGACCAAACAGGGCGGGATTTGTCTCCTTGAATGCAAAAAACAAAGCGGTTGGAGGAATTAATTTAATTGCAGAAAAATCCTTTCCCAGGGATTGTTTTCCATTGGGTCTGAATTCAAATGCTGAAAACATTTAATCTCTGAAGGTTATTATTTTAATGCAAAAGTCTTTGTACATTAATGGGAATAAAAATGGATTGTTATTAATGTGGGAATTATCTTGCATATGGCCGTGAGGGCTGGTAGGTCCACATGAAAACTCTGCCTTGGTACAATTTAGGAAGGTGTGGTGTGAAATTAGACTCACACTAAGAAATTTCTACTGATTCAGCAAGAACATCCATTAGACTTTTCATGTGACCTACTGCTTAAGGCACAAGACTTACCTCTATGTAAGGCAGAGCCCTAACAGGCTGTGGCACAATCCCTACAAGAATTGTCCTACTAAATATATGAAGGGAAAGAGCAGTAATACTGTGAGCAGATTACATCATGGAGTGTTGGCCAAACATCTGTCATGCTGATTTCCTATAAAGTTTCATGGTTTAAATAGAACTATTCTATCTAAAATGTAATTGTGTTCTCAAATTAAAGGTTGGACAATTATGTTTAGCATTATTAATTACTAAAATCCTCTACAAGTAGAAACTTGTTTCCACTGTCAATATAAATCAGTGGAATATTGCCATTAATATTCCATTTATACAAATATATACACAAACACAGAATTATGATCATATCCTTTGCAGGCTTTAGGCCCAAGCTTTTTGCTATAGAAATAAATGGAAGAATTGGCCATGACTTAAATGGGAGCAGGTTCAGTGTCTACCATGGAATATTGAACAACGTGCGACACAATTACAGTTATTAGGCAAATGTTGTTAAAAAGTAGGATTGCCATTTTTGTCAGTCAACCTATTATTAATAATAATCATGTTTATTACAGAAGCGCCTAAGGACCAACTAAAAATGGGGCTCATTCATACTAGGCACTGTACAAACACAGAGTAGTAGACAGCCGCTTCTCTGAAGAGCTATCATTCCAATAAATATATATGCAGAGAAATGAGTGCAGAATTCAAAATGGCACAACAAATAATTTTCAGAAATTAAATAAAATGGATTGTGATTCTTACACAAGATCACAATATTAATGTGCTTAAATATTTTATATTCAAATCAGATGCAACATCCTCTTAATCCCCAGCAGTAGTTAAATGTTGTATCATGAGATGTTTCTATAGATCCCTGTAGCCAGTATGGGCAGCATCTTCCACAAAAGGAAGAGAAGGGAGTGGTGCTTCCCCAGATAATTTAACCAGTTCTTGAAGATCACATCTGTGAAGGATTTATCTGTGTCTCCATCATCATCACCACCCCCACTGGGATTTCACCAGGTACAAATAACATGCACTGGAGAGATAAGGAGCTATAGGCAAAAAACAAAGAACAATAAAGTTACAAGGAAACATCAGGCTAGCTCCCAGTCTTTCACAGTATGGGAGCATGTGTAATTCATCTGCACGTCTCTAGTTCATATGCTTTCAGTGATGGACTTCTTTCTCTGAGGAAGTATCTGCAAGTAAATGAATACAAAATGTTTTAAAATTAAAAATATTAACCCACTTGTGATTAATTTCCCTTTTTCTTACTTGATTTTTTTCCTTGAAGAATTTAAGTTCCATATAATCAAAAGCTTACAGTCCCCATAAGTATACAATAAACCAAAAGAGAAACAAGATGGGTTAGGAATGCCATTATTTTAAACAGTGGTCAGTGGTTACCATCTCATAGTCAATTGTGACCTCTCTCAAATACCAGCTACTAAAGTATATGTTAGGACCTATATCCCACAGCCATGCACCTAGTGTAGTCTTTTACACTTCTGCAAAGTGGGAATAAAATGTGTCATTCTCATTTTGCAGAAGTGTAAAAGACTACACAAGGTACAAGGCAGTGACAAATCTAGTAGTATTAACTCTTAGCACATCTGTGGTTCAAGCATATGTCTATGATAGTAACGCAAGTGAGCGTGGACAAAATGTCACCACAGAAAGGAAAATACATGATTGCCAACATAACATATACATCCTTTCTGAAGAAGTTGCAGCAGAAGTTCCTGAAATGTTGTAACATATTGCTAGGAACACCATGAAAAAGCACACAGTACATCACTTACAAGCAAAACATTAAAACAACAATGGGAAATACTCCCAAGAGTATTCTGAGTTCTGACTATATCAGAGAGAATAATGTACTGCTCCAACATGTTACATCAGTCATTTACTTCTGAAATTTACAGTACTAATGACATCCAAATGCAGTTAGTCCTGTACTCAGAAGTCAATCACAAAACCTACCAGCCCTTTGGTTCCCAATTGAGGGAAGAATTTGGATGAACATGCTGAGAAAAGAAAATTAAATCCAAAGGTCCATATTTGTGGCAGGAGATGAAGAGGCAACATTGTTGGAATTCCAGGTTTTCATAATAGAACTCTTCCTTTGTCTGTAACAGTTAGAAGCCACTTTATGTCTCTGTGATAAATTAAGTGTTGAGTATAAGATGGATGACAATTAGATGATGAATATTTTCTATTTGTGAAGGTATATATGTAGAGTGTCTATTCAGCTGACATGCCACGTGGATTACACATCCTCACACCTGGAAGGATCACCTCACCTTTGACCATAGTACTATTACAGTGGCACACCCACACAATTAAAAAAAGAAGCAGAATTTACAAAGCAATCAATGACTCATGGTAAATTTCTGAAAAAGGTCTATTTAGGCCTAATTCTACATTGTCTAAAAGGCAGGTAGCCTGCTGTGCTGGCCTGGGGCCCCCTCACACCTGACAATGCAAATTCAGGACCATAGAGATATTTTCTTCCCTTATTTTTTGTTATTGCGGACATTTGCCTAAACATACAATCCTATGGCTAGATTCTGATCTCAGTTATACTGATATAAATCAGTGTTACTCCAAATCTGTATTTGTATAGAGAGCTGAATCCCAAGTCATAACACTGTAGCATCAGCACTGACTGTTATAGAAATGAATTTGTCACAAGAAGGAATGATAATTTCAGGTAAGAAGCTAGCAGTAGGACCGATTCTCCATGGCCTGGGGTCTTTTGTAGTCATTTTACACCTATTCAAGTGAACGGAAAACCCTACCAAATCAGAATGGTAGTATTTTACACAGGTATAAATAACTATACAAGGTACAAGGCAGTGGGGAATTCAGTCCACTGTTTTCATGTTAATATCCTCAGTAATAAAAAAAAAAGGAAAGGTAAAAAAACCAAGATAATGTTATAAGCAGAATTATTTCTAAAAAAAGATTTTTCAAAAGTGCCTGTAAAGTGTCAGTATCTGTAACTTTTAAAAAAAGTTATTGAAAAAATTATAATGGGAGAGCTAGATTCTCAGTGCTTCGTGCAGAACTGAGGTGGTGATGGCCTCAAGCCACCTTTGCTCTCTCCAGATCCTAATAACTGCTGGGGACCACTTCAGTTCCTGGCATAAATTAGAACAGCACAGAGGTGTCCCCCAAAAGGGACAGTCCAGCAGTTGAGAATCAGCCAAGTGCAAGGGCATTCAAGGTATGTTCCCTCCACAGATGGCCAGGAATGAGGTGATGTTCAGCTGCCACAATTTAAGAATTACCTTTACACAAGAAGAATCCCCTGGTCAACTGGTTAATTTGGCTTTCTGGCTGCTTTGCAGCAGTGGAAAGCAATTGGCATTGGAGTCTAAATCTGGCCCACAGTAGTTTGTGTTTCAAAAACGCACACAAAGGGAACTGGGCCCTCACTTAAGCAGGAATAGTGTATTTTTGATAGACTAAAGTAATAAACAAGTACTTTCAAAGTTGTTGCATCTACATTAGTGAACAAATAGCATGGAACTAATTTTGCATCTCCTTCAGATAATGGATGAGAAAGAAGGAATTTCCACATGGCAAATGAATGCTTCATGAAACCAACAGGAAAGAATCTAATTAATTAACATCTGTGTATTTACAGTATGTTACTGAAATACCAGTATTACCACTGCCATATGAACTCACAATGTAAACCAGAGAAAACCAAGTTACTATAAAATGCCTTGATATCTTCCCAATGTCTTCAATCTAATTTAATATTAGCTTATCAATGCATCTGAAGCTATTTAAAATAGCCGGGACCATTTATTGACAGCAAAAGCAGGAAATGAGTACATATTGGAACATCCTGTTGCGGAGGTGGGGCTGTTAGCGTTTAAAGCCATACTACTGTTTAAATTTCATATCATACTTTCTCAGCGGTCATCTCCAACTGGTATTCAGCTGAACAATATGGAATTTTCTGTGATCTTAAGTTGAAGGTGGATTTTGAAACCAAAATTAGAAAATGAAAACTTCTGACATTTCAGGAAACAGAAATTGTAGGCCATCCTGAGTGTGTTTATGGTTTGCATTATAGTGTGAGAAAGGATTATTTGAGCAGAATTTCTAAAAATGTTTGAAAGAGCTAAACATGGGGTAAATTGTCAAATCCTTAGTTTCCCATGCGAAGACCAGCTCATGAATATGTCCTGGTTTGCTGGTAAAGCTTCAAGCTTTATAAAGGCCAACTTTGAAATACTTGTGCAGTTTCAAATATGCATGCGTGTAAACACACCTTGGGCCGGTCAATAATTTCCCATCAAAACGGTTTTCAGCACTTTCCGTGGAAAGTGTTGACTTTTCATTGAAAAACCAAAACTTTATTTTCAGGTTTTCATTTTTTCTCTGAAAAGTTGTAATTTTCAACAGAAAAAAAAATCCATTCTCTCACCAGCTCTAATTATAATATTAGTAGCAAAAGAATGTGTATGTTAAAGGCAAAATTGGCTCCTGAGAATGAGAGGTGGCACTACACTAGGGGTACCTGGACACATTTTGCCTCTAGAGATGTTCAGATGTCCTGCCACATTTGTTAAACGGTGTACCTAGAGTTCCATAGGCTGAACTCTGCTTACCCCATCTAGGCCTACTTAGCAGCATTAGCTGATGGCTCGCATTCTTCCTAGGATCTTGCAACTAAGTCAGTACTGCCCGCTGAGCAGGGAGTTAGATGAGGAAGGACTCGTTTTACCCTCTCCCTGTGCACTAAGCCAGGGATGATTTGCCCCAAAATTAAAATATATAATGAATATATAAACATTAGGACTAAGAGCTCCCGTATTTAGATCAGGGGTTTTGAAGGGATAAGTGTGGTTCTTGAATACATCTACTGGGAGACCACTAGTTATTTCTGCCAAAAATCAAAAAACCCCAAGATGCATCTTGGAAGCAAAAGAAACAACACATGCCAGCAGCAAGGACACGTGAGCTCCGAGCAATAAAACCTCTTTTCCAGAGAAATCTTTATGAAAAGAGGGTTCAGGGAAAGTCTCCAAAACCAATTTTTTTTCCAACCATCTTTTCAATTTTGCACAGTTAGATAAGGAAGGAAGCCAGCCCCACCTGCTAAATAAACTCAAATTAAGTACACTTGCTGGAATTCTTTATCCTTTGCCCCTAAAGCAAATAAAAACAAATTCCAAGAACACTGAGTGATATAACACGTAAAGTAGGTTTAGGAACTGGTGCCACACAAGGGAAGCATGAACATTAGAGCAAGGCTAGACTGCAAGAAAGTGAGGAAAGCCTCAGAGTTGAGATCTAGCACAAATCCAGGCACAAAGTAAAAAGAGGAGGGGCCAGGTTCAGCCCTGCTGAAAGCAGGTGCAGCTCCATTAGAGTCAAGCCACTGCTATGCTTGCAATATTGTGTGTTGTTTCTGCTCCCTTGCACCTCCCCTGCACACTGTCCTTCCCTGGACCCAAATCTGTCCTCTCGTCCACCTTTATATATTGCCCTTTTCCCTCTTTCAACCAACTAATTTATTTCCCCTCCAGTTTTTCCCCATCTATGGCATCTGCATTATGAGGAGGAGAAAGATGCACAGGCCTAAAGGGGAGGTAAGTTGCAGAGCAGGCCAGCTCTCTCTTCCTACCCATACTCCCAGTACCCATCCTTTCCACTTTCCTCTAGTCACCCTGCTTTTCTTACTCTGCTCTGGAGACTGGCTTTTTGGATCAGAGGCTCTTATTAAATGGTCTCTTGCTGGCAGCCTGATCTCGTATTGCTCACTTTCTGGGCATAGGCTGCTAAAGGCATGTCTCTGCAGGCACAGAACACAGCACACAAAAGAAGAAGAGGTGTGCTCTGCAATCCCCCACATTTATTTATGCCCTCAGACAAGAGGAGCTTCACTAAGGGGTTTTAATAAGATACAATGTACACCTTTATGGATATGAATGGGAAGAAAATCTTATTGTCTTAGAACCAATAAACATGGTTCTAAACAGTGCAGCCCATACCTTTCCACTTGCAACTAACTGCTTTAATAGTTCTGGATTCAGTTTTGATCCCACTGGTAAGGCCTCTGCAGGTTAATCACTCAGGTTCCTGTGGACATAGAGCATGTTTCCTCCCAAAGGGCACATTCATGGCCTCATGACTTTACCCTGGGGTACAGCCTGGTGTTTCTTACCAGACCACTAGC